TCGACCCAAATATCTCAATTTCGCATATAGTTATACCATTACCAGGATGTGGAATAGATTCTGTCTTGAATAGAGCTAGGTATCTACCAATTGTATATTTAGGACAACGTCTAGTCATGTAATAAGTAGCATCATTTATTGTATTACATAATATTTCCGGTTGCCAGGGAGGATTTGTAAATTGATTGTTTGATATTATTATCTTTACACGACTTAGACGGACAACAGGATCTATTCTATTCACCAATGAAACAGCATATATTTCACTCTTTATTTCCAAGTCTATAGCCCACCAACTTGGAACAATTGAACCTGTCCATGAACAGTGTGGAGCCTCCCATTTAGAGAAACTTTGCCCATCATTGGCACTATATTTAGTTTCGCCTGGTGATAATATATTGAATTTATTCCTGTCAATATCTCGCATTGTCCATATTTCAATCTCGCATATAATTAATTTCTTATTGATTAATTCAAGTTTAACGGCTGCCAATTTTGAATATTGCGGTCCATTCAAACAATCAACAGTTAGTGATTGCATTGACCCAACTGAACCTCGATTGCACAGAGTAAAAGAGTTGATATTATTAGGGTCAGTATCATTGATACTAGTGAAAAATAAAACATTTGACATTGAATGACCTCTGGTATTTAAAATTCTGATTGTCCTTATAAAATAGCTGTTTGAAAATACAACCATCCACCATTCATTTTCCATAGGGTTAATAGTAGAGCTAAAGCATACTGCTTGATTAAAACTTCCATCCAGTGCCAATTGTTTCCTTTTCAGGTTGCCATCTTCACTAGATGAATAACAAACTTGATTTAAAGCGATGTTAACAGTTTGATGTGTATCAGTTGACAAAGTAGAACCAATGTTGATTTTTAGCAGGAAAAGGATAAAGATTAAATTTGACTTTAGAATCATTCTAACCGAGATAAAATTTGTGAGTGTTGTTTGTCAAACTAGTGAATTTTTAAGATAATTCAGCTTTTTTTGTAATTTACATTAAAATAACAATATATCTTTCATTTATAGTTCATTTCTTTCCTATACAAAAAACATAACTAAATTACTAAGAAATGTCTTTCTATTGAATTCTCTATATAATTCAATTGCATTGTTTAATTGTTAATTTTCTAACAATTCCCTCTTTTTTCATGTAAAGATTAACCTTTTGAAATAAAAATTAATAATTCATTAATGTTCTATGCTTAATAATATTTTGGTAGGTAAAATTGTCTATTTTTAGAATCAAAACTGGTAATTTTTTATTAACACACATGAGAAAATGCCAGGAGGGTTCATTTCTCAGGTGGATAATACACCCTGAAATATGACAAATAAGACTAAAATATCATTATTTTACAATGACCACCATATTCTCTTGATCTGTCACCCATAGAAAATATGTGGCATTTGCCTTATCATGAATTATGGCAGAGAATTGAGAAAAATTGTTTTACAATTCAATAGAAAGAGAAAGGATAAGATGAAAAAGCTACATGAGTCTCTCGCTGACAAAGTAGGGTTACAATACTGAGAAAAAACCAGCTATAAATTAAATAAATAATAGGCTTGTTATTAATATTATTGTTCACAACAAACATGGTCAAGGGTTATCATATTATACAACAGTGATTTAAACAACAACTTTGCGTATGTAAACTCTCAAGGATATCATATTTGATATCATCGTTATCTCCAAAAATGTGATATTGTCTGATTAGATATTCTTAACAAAAATGAAGTATAAAACTGAAGCGTCCTCATACTTTCACAGATGTTCAAATTTTATATTGCAATGGCAGCCAGAGCTTTGTGAGATCTTTTTGTTTATCTGCTTAAGTGATTTTAATTTCATATTTCATCTTTTTTTTTATAGAAATACAAATAAATTAGAAAATTTTTCAACAAAAACTGAATTGGAAACTTTTAATAAACTAAAAACTTTTTTGCAATGCAAAATTTGTTATCATAAACTTGCTAATACAATAACACTGCCATGCAGTCATGTACTTTGCTGCAAAGAGTGTTTATTAGCCCTTCCAAGGCCTGAATGCCCTTCTTGTAGGGCTTTTATTAGAGGTTATTCACTAATCAAGTCAGATTTGGATAATTTAAAATTGGATTTTGAAAATGATGAATTATGATAGAGAGAATTTGATAATTTTGGCAAACTGGAATGAAAGAAAAGCCTTTTAGTACTGTACAGCTTTGGATATATTTAACATGCTTGAACTCTATTATTTTATGCAACTTATACATTTACCTCTTAAAACCTATGAAAGAAAATGCTATAACATTGACCAAACACATGTCTGATTGGACAGCTTGAAGGTTCATCCTTAATTACCAGTTAAGGTTTGGCCAAGTTATAATTGAATTAACCTTCCTAAATGTTGAACTTTGTAACATCCTGTTACTGAACATAAATATGGTACAACATTGGCCAACACAGGTTTTGGGAGAACATTTTTCAGCTAAATCCTTTAGAGCCTTAAAAATTTAACATAATCACATATCAGTAAATATATTTATGAAATATAACCTTTGCAGGTTGCTTTTAGCATCATTATCTCCAAGTGTGATATTATCTGATTAAATATTCTTAAAAAAATGAAGTATAAAACTTCCTAAATAGACTTTACAATTTCATAGATGTTCAAATGTTATATTTCAATGGTGAAAAATTTTTTTAAACGTACCTGGAGTTTTAGACTTTGCACTGAATTGCAATTAGTTTCCTAAAAAATTTTGATATTGTATTGTGTTCATTTTAATTATGGAGAAAACATTCACTGGAGAAAATGTACGCTGATTGGAGAAAACGTCCACTGGTTGGAAAAAATGTCCACTATGTGAAAAAAATATTTAAAAACACTTTTTAAAATTTATATTTTTATTGATTTTGAGACGTATCCAATACATTTCCATAATGCAATCACTTTTGGCAGCCATTTTTAAATCCAGACAGGAAACAGTTCTAGGATCTTATATGTTTTTCATGGAAAGTGAATATTGTGCACTTTTCATCTACAATCTTTCAGAATTTTTGGCAGTTTGAAATATATATGGTCGACAAAAAAACCCGGACACCATAAATTTTGATAGGTCAAACACTATAAATCTTTTCCACTAGCAAAAAAGATTTTTTTTTTATTTTTCAGGTATAAAATATTATTTAAAGTTGAATATACACATGAGTTTCTTTTAAATATCATTTATATGAGTTTTTACATAAGTGCTTTTGTTTTCTTATTATTCATTTTTTGATGATTTTTTTCTTATTTGGCCATGAGACATTATTACTCGGACAATGGTTTTCTCCTACAGTTCATCTCCAGATTGAAATTGTGCCCCATCGTACACTAAATTTTTTGGCAGGTGCCACATATTTTCTATAGGGCTAAGGTCAGGGCTCTTTGCTGGCCAATCAATTGAATTTATACCATTCATTCTAAAGGCCCTCCTTGTTGATGAACTGAGAATGAGGTTAAATTGATTGCAGTTTATGAGAAATTATTGTCAGAGAAAAGGGTTTACAAACATCAAAAGAAAAGGTATATTGACATACACAAAAACATCCATTGATTTATTAATGCAGACATCTCATATCTACTCTCCAGAATAAATATCATTTATTAACCAGTCTTGTTCTTTAGTATAATATTTAGTGCTTGTTTTTCTTTTCAAATACATATCTTTCAGTTCATATTCAACTTCATATTATACTGCTCTTGCTGGCAAAATCTATGCGTTTGCAAGTGATAACAATACTGGTTCTACTCGAACCTTTAAACAAATGTTTAAATTAAAACGGTTTATTCGCAATAATAATACTTAAGCAAGTAACAATATGAGAGTTCAATAGCAGAGTAGATAGTTCGTAAAAGCAGGTTGCCAAATTACCAAACTGTCTTCCAATGTTGAGGAGTAGATGGATGGTTCCAGTGGAGGTTGTTTCCAGATGATTTTCCCAGGTCCTTGGGTCCAGATGGAAGCTGCAGGCCAAATGAGAATAGTGAGGATTTATATACTTTGAGGTTTGCCTCTGACATCCAATCATCACTTTACAGTTGCCAAAATGTGTAGTTCATATTTATGTTTAGTAAGAGGATGTTACAAGGTTGAACATTTAGGAAGGTTAATTGAATTATAACTTGGCCACACCCTAGGCAAGTTAATTAAATTATAACTTGGCCAAACCTTTATTGATAATTAAAGATGAGCCTTCAAGCTGACTAATCAGACTTATGTTTGGCCAATGTTATAGCATTTTCTTGTGTAGGTTTTAAGATGTACATGTATAAGTTGCATCAAATAATAGAGTTCAAGCATGTAAAATATAACCAAAGTTGTACAATATCTAGAGTATCTAACCAAAATATAACATATATATACCTTTGTAACCAAACCATTTTAGGAAAAATCCATAAATATACTAAAGAAGAAAAGGGTGCCAATGTACCCGCTTTGGGTACATTTGCACTCTGGTACATTTGCACCCAGGTACATTCGCACCCAGGTACATTCGCACCTAACCCTGTTTTCTTGACTGTTGGACTTGTCATATTGAAATTGTTACATCTTATGCAACTCTCCAACCTGAGAAATTCAACTATTATTTAGAAGAAAAAAACAATAAAAAACATAACCATATTTACAACTGTGTCTTAAAATGTTACTTTTGTTTTTGTGAACATTGAAATTTGTGAACTATCAACCCTTTCAAGAGTATATAAACACCACAAAATTAACAGTTGACAGTTCAGTTTTCTAACCATCAGCTGGTTGTTTACACTAGCTTGTTTAGAACTAGAAACTCATTTTATTCAATACATATTCTTTGGCCGATATTGGTGTTTTGTTGATTAATTTTGATAGAAATTACATTTGTTAGATTATTTGTGGACGATTTTGAAAGGTTCTGTTTGTGTGAGTACTATGGCAAATCGGTAAATGATTGGAAAGGACAATTACAGCTATGACAAACCAGAAATTCCTACAATTACAATACAACAAAGTGGGGGTGACAGAAAACGTCCACAATTGGCAGAAACATCCACAGATGGACAGAAAACATCCACAAATGAAGAGTAAATGTGCACATAGTATTAAAAAAATAATTAAATAAGAAAAGAGACGATGAAATGAATTAATATATTTTTCTTAATTGATTAAATACTAATGATCTGAGAAAATGAAAACTATGAAATTGCAAGTAAAAAAGTTTATTTAAGAACATAATTTTTCAAATGACTTGAACATTTTTCATATTTTTAATACTGTTGAATTAATACTATATTTAATAATATAAAGCAGAACACATCTCAACAAGTTAACTTGCTGTGATGTCACCAACTTTAAAGTTTTCCCAAATGGAAAACAGTTCCTTTTGAATTTCTGTGTAGACTTTTTTTGCATTCTCAATATCTTCTTCTCACTTAATAATTTTTCATATACAGAAATTAACTCAGCCTCTCTCTTTAGTTCATCAATAATTGTGTAAAATGATGAGTTTATTCCCATGTTTTTATTGAGTCTATTATGGAATCCTTCCAAGTCATTATTTGTGTGGATTGATTGGTTAAACACAGACCAAGTTTCTGGAGGCCAAAAGCTATTTTTTATCCAATTATCCTCCACATATTCTAATAAATCTCCAAGCTTATTTCTTTCAGCCAGCTCACTTTTTATTTTGTAGAATTGGTTTGCAATCAAAGAATGAGGGAGGTAGGGCAAAGCCATAATCATTTTCATTGATTGCCATTCTCCTACTCTCTTTTTAAATTCTGGGCTGTAACCCAGATCCTAAAAGTAGTATAATAGACTTAGATTAAATTTTTACATTTATTAGTATTATTTCTAACCTGAATTTTTCTAAAAATGCCTTGTGACCAATGAAAAGAACAACCAACCATTGTA